AAGCTTTTTCTGCCCAGACGAGGAGCTTATCAAACACGATCCCCCTTTGATTTACGATTTGGACAAGGACCCCTATGAAGTATATCCCATAGTGGATGAAGCTACAATTAAAACCGTAACGGATAAAGCTTCAAAACTGATTGACGATCATCGCAAATCAATTGTTCCAGTCAAACAAGTATTGGGAGATTTTGATTATAATGGATGTCTTTGGCCGGTAAGAATATTATAAACTTATTATATAATAAATTCATTGGAAATACGACTTTCCGGAGAAAATATAACATTTTCCTTCCGGAATGGATTTAATAAATAAATTAGATATACTTTCCGGAAAAAGAATAATTGCATACTTTTTCCGGAAAAATATAACTCTAAAAATAAATTAAACATGAAACTTTCCGGAAAAAATATAACATTATCTTCATTCTGGAATGGATATAATAAATTAATTAGCTATGAAACTTTCCGGAAAAAGTATAACTCTAAAATAAAACATATAACTTTCCGGAAAAAATATAATAACTTAAACATGAAACTTTCCGGAAAAAATATAACATTATTTTCCTTCCGGAATGGATATAATAAATTAATTAGCTATAAAACTTTCCGGAAAAAGTATAACTCTAAAAAATTATCATTAAACTCTCATAATTTCAGTGTTATGGTGACAATTGCGGATGTTGGGCATGATTTAACTAAACATTTTAATTACTTGGATTTATGGGAGATTATTTTTGGATTTCGGGAGATGAACTTTTAAGAATTCTGGGAATCATAAATAAATTATTTAATACCTCATTTAACAATGGATTTTTACAAAATACTTTATTTTCTTGAAATCATTTATTAATTTATTAAATTATAAAATATATATGGGACAATATTGGATTAATAAAGCTGAGGGTGATTTTTCTAAATTTAATTTCTACATAATAAAATTTGTCATATAAAATTTTAAGTCTGCAAAATTTTTAGATAAGGATTTAAGGTGATTTAATATTCATATTAGTATTTTCCGGAAAAAAATATATTAATGCTTTCCGGAATAAAAAGGCGAAGTGAACTTTATAAATTTCCGGAAAACTCAAAATTTATTAACCAAAATTTCAATTTAATTATTTCATTGACAAAGTGATATGTTCCTCTTTCGATCACTATTTATTTTACACATCGGGATTGATGGTGAACGTGTCCTTGAAGGTTTTCCTTCCCTTGTTTGGAATGAGAGAGGCAATAATGGCAGCAAGTGTGTAGGGATATTGCTTCCGTTTTTGCTTCCCTTTGGAGATATATCCTTGACATTTTGATAGTGTTTTACAATAAAAATGCTTAAATAAATCTGGAAAGACATAAATTTATTTTAAAAAAAATTTTTGAAATTTTAGAACCTTTAATGGAACACTGAAAGAATTTAGGGTAGACCCGAGCTGGTAAATACTCAAAAGACTCCAATAATCAAAAAGTATAAAATGTTCAAAGCCTTTGAGGTATATTAACATCTAAAAATTTTCAATAATATTTTTAGAACAAAATTTTTAAATTTTACGGCAAAATTCATTAAATAGGTGGAAATCTGCATTATAGCGTGGACATTGTGTAAAGTTATCCAACATACCCACCAGATAAATAATTCTTGTTTTTGCTAAACTATAAAATAAAATTAAAAGAATTCTCTAAAGAAATATTCTTATAATAAATTTTGAATCAAATTGTACCCGTTTCTCTGCTAAATACAATAAATAAGGCATTATAAATCCGGGTAGAACGAAAGCAATCAGGAAGCCATGAAAAAAGTAGAATTGTACTGAAAATGATATAGTATAGGTACTTTCCGGAAAGAGAATACTATAATGTATATTTGTATATTTCCGGAAGGAACTACCATAATTACACCCGGAAAACTATAAGGAATAGAAAGTAAACATCTGAAGGAATATAATGTGTATAATTCCGGAAGGAAAATAGAAACGGAAAGAATTTACTAGACTAACAACCGGAATGAAACACCTATGCCTTCCTGAATTGATTATAAAAAACCGTAAGAAAAATAGAAACGGAAATTCTGAGATATTATATGATACCGGTATAATAGCGTTAATCGTTACGAAAAAGATATATCGAAAACCAAAAACTTAATATAAAAGATGGAGATATTAGAAACCGGATAAAAATTTAATTTACAACCGGAAGGAGTATAATTCAAAGAAATAATTTTCATTATTACAATTTCAAGAATACCTTGTCTATCGTCGTATACAACATCTGCCATTTGCCGCATACGACTACCATTTGGCATTTCCAGGTAATAAGTATACAGGCCGTGACGTTGTATTGCTGGTTTCAGATTTTTTAAAATACAGCTGGTGTCGAGTAGTTGAAAAATAGCCACCAACTTAATTTTTTAAATTAAATTAATTCCGGAAAGAAAATACCGGAAAAGATAGACTTAATAGATTAGAGTTATATGTCTGTCTATTAATTCCGGAAAGGAAATAGATTCTCAACCGGAAGGAGAATAACTCTCACTTTAAATAAATTATTAATTAATTCCGGAAATAAAATACCGGAAAAGATAAACTTAATAGACTAGAGTTATATTTGTGCCTATTGATTCCGGAAAGAAAATATTTATTATATTTCAACCGGAAAGAAAATAACTCTGACTTTTAATAAACTAGAGTTATATGTTTAATTAATTAATTCCGGATTAATTCAATTAATTCCGTTAAGAAAATACCGGAAGAATTAAACCTAATAGACTAGAGTTATACATACATAATTATTTATGTCTAGTAATTCCGGAAAGGAAATATTAGCTTCTTAACCGGAAAGAAAATAACTCTAACTTTTAATAAATTAGAGTTATACTATAATAATTATTCAAGTTTCAGGTTTAAGTTTAATCTTAAAGTTTAATTAAATAAATAAATTTTATTTTCTCTTCAAGTTTTATTTTCTTTTCAAGTTTTAATTTTTAAGTTTAATCTTAAAGTTTAATAAAAATTAAGTTTAATATTCAAGATTAAGCTCAAACTCGAATAACTATACCAATAATATAATAATTAACTTAATTTGCTTACAGGGCTAATTATAGCAGCAATTAATATTTTCACTGTGGTATGTATGCCTCCACGCATAGAATGAATATAATTTAGCTTTAATTAAAGACAAAATTCTTTATATTAATATTCACAAATTTATTTTATTTTTGCATAGAAAATTTTATAATAAGCTTTCAGCCTGTTTCTCATGTCAATTTAAACAGTGTTACGCTAATGAGGCTTATTTTAGTAATCCGTAATTTGAGTAAATTTAAAAATTTTCCTATGTTTTCTAATTTATTTTTACATGCAAAAAAATTATAAAAATTTAGGAGAATTTAAATAAATGAGGAACTGGAAGTGATTTTAAATTTAATTATAGAAAGGCGCCTTTTTCTTTTTAATTCTAAAGGGATTAGCTAATAAATAAAGCTGAGATTGGTGCTTTTATTATTAAAAGAAGTAGGAAATGGAGTAATTAAAATAAGAAATATGTCTGTATGTATCAGGGATGCTATGGGTTACCCGAACACCGTCCCGACTTTTTTTTTCCAGAGACAAGCCGGACCTTATTCCCTTGAATCCGCTTGCTGAATAAGCCAAGCCCATACTTTTTTCGATACGAAACACGAAACCTGATCTAAAAAATGTGAAAACCCGATTTGAAGCCCCCCTACCCTCCGACGTTTTTCTCAACCCATAACATCCTTGATATATATCTGGGATCTAGCCGACCCGATCCCGATTCCCGAAAATAAGGAATTCCCGACGTTTTTGGGCCGGGAATCCCGATTCCCAAAAATCAGGAATTGAATTTTTATGCCGGCTAGATCCCTGGTATGTATAAAATAATTTACATTTAAGCATCAAAAAATTCTATAAAATTTCCAAAACAAAGCTTATTAATTTAAAAATATTTTAAAAATAAATTGAATAGAAAAGCACTCAAGGCTTTAGAGAAAATAAAAGTCACTAATTGTAGTTTTAAATATATATGGCTTTGAAAGCCTTTGAAAGCCTTTGAAGGCCTATAGTGCATATAAATAAATAAAAATAAATTTATGCCATGCCACACACGATGGGGGAAAGACAGCTGAAATGAACGCTGTCAAAATTTTTTTTCTTTCATTCTCACGCTTTGGAGGTAAATCGGGAATGGCAAAAATGGAAATTACCAAAAAAAGGAGTGTTAAAATAAAATAAAGCCATTAGTTTTGCAAATAAAATAGAATACGATTTTTAATATTTTTAATGGATTAAGAGGGATATATTTATATTAATGCCTTGGTTTTATTGGAATATTACTAAAAAATAAAGGTTAATTGAAATAATTTTTAATTGTAAATTTTAATAATTATATAGCAGGAGGTGACGAAGATATTTATTAAGCAAAAGGCGAAATTCGAAGCACCGTAATACTAAAAAATGGCAAAAATTGGTGAATGGCGAGAAGTGAAATGCCATAATACATATGTATACACTGTTATACATATGTATTAGGGATCTAGCGGACATAAAAATTCAATTCCCAGGATGAATTTTTATGTAATTCGTAATATGGAATTCGTAAATTCCGGAAATGAATTCCTGAAAATTTAATTTTATAAAATGCATTAATAATAAATACAATTTAATCATGCATATTATTTTTAAAAAATTTAATTAAAATCTTATAAAAATAAAATTTAAAAAATTTTTTAAATATTTTCCTCACCCAAATTTTCTCCTCTAAACCTCAATCTATTCAATTTCCCTTAAAAATAAGCTTGGAAAAATCCGAAAAGAAGCTTCATTTAAAGCTGGCAGCTACATGCGGCATTCCTTTTTGCATTTTAAATCGATAAAGCTAAAAAATTCCAAAGTGCATTTTTTTTATTTTTTTATTAATCCGACAATTTATTAAGCTTAAAAATTCGAATAAATAATTTATCAAAATTTTTTAAAATTTAAATAGACAATGACTAATATTTTATTATTTATTCACTTTTATTTATTAACCCAAATGGCCCCTCTAATTTCATCTATTGGATATGGGTTTTCTGTGGGTCAATCACCTTGGGGAGGCTTAGAAAGTAGAGAAGGAGCAGTTTGCAATTATGTTAGTAAATATGGTATTCAGATGAATTTAAGGTAAATTATTTATAAGTCAATTTTCCGTAATTATTGACAGAAATTAACGGTTTTTTAAATTCAAGTGTTCGGCCAAACGTGATTTAGTGTCCACTTCCTCAAATTCGGAATACCGAAATACACCGAAATCTTCAAATCCGGTGTCCACACTTTCTCAAATTCGGCCCCAGAGAAGGGGTCTCTGGGATGTGAGCCCCCTGCACGAAGCAGGAGGATCTTAGTTGCCCACTTCACGAGGAAGGGCAACTTTTAGTAAGGGCTTATTACAAACATGATTTCTCTAAAAACGATCAAGCATGATTTAGTGCCCATACAGGGCAAAATAGCCTATAACACTTTCTTTAATTTTGCACCCAGAGAAGGTGTCTCAGTGAACTTGAGCCCCTGCAAGAGGCAAAGCAGCAATTGCACTCTGCCTTTGGGGGCTTTAGTTGCATTTTGGGGACCTTAGTTGCACCCTGCCCCCTATTTCCCCTGAATCTATAAACTATAAATTACAATTTAGTCATGAATTAATAGCGGAATTGGAATGGAAACCTGGCAAAACTAAACGAAGCACACCACCAACAACTATGTTAGAGTGGGATGAACGGGTTCAACTTAATTATAATCATCTGGAAAAGCCTCAGAAAAATTGTTCTGACGAGCATTGGATTTTAGAACATTTATTAAAGGATTATGATAAATTTAGAATTCCAGGGGAAGGAAATGTACGTGTTGAAGTTGAGGTAGATTAATAATTATGAATTTATTAGAATTCAAATCATTAAAGATTTGGGTCCAGGAAGTGTCAAAAATTATTGAAATTACGAGTGAATTCGAATTGGATATTTACGTCACTGAATGGTGGCTGGATTCGAGATTGGCCTTTTCCCATCTTAATCCTTGCAAGAAGTTAGCTTGAAAATTTATTCGACCTAATTTTAATCTACTAGGAATATGTCGGTGGATGGTGCACGAGTATTACCTGAAATTTGGAATCCTTTAGGGTGTTTTGTAAACAGTAAAGACGCTACAGTTCATAAAAGTCCTTTCAGCAACATTTTTCTACAATTGTAAATTTATTTTACAATATTATTAAAATATTAAATAAGCTTGTTTACAATTGTAAAACCAGAAAAATTAAACTTGTCAAGTTGTAAAATCAGAATTTTAAGCGAACATGTTTACAATTCTGAAACAGAATATTAATTAAACCAGAATATTAAATAAACTTTTTTTACAATTGGAGAACTTAATTGTAATAAGCAACACGAGAATATTCAACGTGTATTAATAACATAAGCACAATCAGACCTGGTCAAGGGCACGGATATGGATACAGATAATAAAAAATGCCTGCAGATATCCGCCTGTATCCGCCGTAAATATCCGGATACGGATACCAAAGTCAGTATCCGAGACCAGGTCTGACCACAATATACAGTAAACTTGTTCTGAAATAATTTTGATTTATTATCTTTAGATATGAGAATGGATCTGTTTGGCATAATTACAGGCAAATAAATTTTACCATACTTTTTAAACGACTTTAAATTTTTTCGAGTTTTTAGAATAAAATTGACTGGACCTTGCTCTAATACATTCAATCGCTTTCCGATTGATCAACAAAGGTATTGTTTTTCTCATTAAAATTTTTAAAATTTATTTAAAGGTGTATGCTCTTCTATGAGTCGTTTAACCATAATTATGTAATTTTAAAAATATTTTTTTAATAGAATTTTTAATTAACACTAAAGGAGCAAGTCCAAATGGAATGGACAATGTCTCCAATTATTTTGCTGAAACCTAATATAACTTTGCCAGATTATGTTTTGGTTGACTTTAAGGCTTCCAGTGTTAAAAGAGTTTAAATATTAACTAAGCTTGAATTTATTTTATTTAAATTTAAGCTTTACCCACCCGGTATATGGAATGAATTAGTAGCCACATTTACTTTCAAGAGACTATATGGTTTCTATATTCTTCAGGTCATCTAGAATAATAATTTTATGTTTATGTTAATTATACATACTGTTAATATAACGGTCATAATCATTAAAAATAAACATTTTCTGGAAGGGAGGTAAACTTTAATATAACCATGAGAATTTTCAGAATTATACAGATTATTTATAACTAAACTTTTTCCGGAAACAATGGGTCAAAACGTTTTAAACCAGAATTAGTAAATAAACATTTTCCGGAAAAAGTATAACACATCAGAATTAAAACTGGAATTACAAAATAAACTCATTCCGGAAAAAATAACTTCTTCCAAGTTAAAAGCAGAATAATTAAACTTTTTCCGGAAATATAATAAAATAAATTTTTCCGGATAATAATCTTTTTTTAATTAAAACCAGAGTTATTAAATATAAACATTTTCCAGAAAAAGTATAACACAACAGAATTAAAACCAGAATTATAAAAATACTCTTTCCGGAAAATAAACCTGTTCCGCGTATATAAGCAAAATATGTAATTAAACTTTTTCCGGAAATAAAATAAACTTTTTCCGGAAAATAAACTTTTCTGAATTAAAACCAGAGTTATTAAATATAAACCTTTTCCGGAAACCCCCCTTTAAATAAACTTCAGTAAAATCTAAACTTTTTCTATATTTTCAGGTTTACATTCCAACTTACATTTCTGTTTGTATGAGTTGGATATCTTTTTATTTGGGCAAAGACAACATTCCTTCGCGTACAATGATTGGAGTAAAAATTAAAATAATTTTTAAAAATAATCAAATTTATAGGTAAATTCTCTCCTTTCTTTAACTTATCAATTCGGATCTGTCGTTGCTAATTTACCAAAAACTAGTGATATTAAAGCTATTGATGTTATGATACTTATAGCTATGGGATTTATATTTTCTTCACTTATTGAGTAAATAAAAATAAAAAAAATTTTTTTTAATTTTCATTTTTCCTTAGACTTGCCGTTGTTGGTTATTTAGTTAGTGCACAAACAGAGAAAAAAGAAAAATTGTAAAAATAAAAAAAATTAAAAAAAAATTTATTTTAATTTAAAAAATAAAATTAAAGGCATAATTGTTGGTGGGGCTGTTTGTGTTGCCCAGAACTAACAGCCTCAAAAATTGACCAAGTAAACTAAACCTTTTTTGGAAATTTTTAAAATCTCTTATTTCCAAAATTTAGGTGTCCTTTATTCTCTTTCCTACATGCTTTGTTATTTTTAATATTTGGTATTGGTTTATTTTTATGGGGTAAATTTTAAAAAATTACCTTAAAATTTTTTATAATTAAAAAATATTTTTAATTTAGAAGACTTAGATGACAATAAAGAATGTTTTTGAAAATACAACGGGTAAACATAAACCAAGATTTTGACACACTAGAATACTGGAAATTATTTATGCCGATAAAAAATACAAAAATAAAATCACATAAAATACAGGGTGCGCCAAATTAGCGCCCGCTTTTCTTTTAGCTATAACTTTCTTCGTTTTCAATGAAACCCGATAATTCTTTTTTTACTGGATTCCTGATACTCTAAGGATTTTTTTGATACCAAAATCGCCTTTAAAATTTATAATTTAGTCTGATTATAGCCAAAAGAAATGCGGCCGCTAATTTGCCGCACCCATACATAAAATACATAAAATATTTGCATCGATAGAATTATTATATTTTAAAATTAAAAATTTATTTTTCACGCGTTTGAAGGGCATGCCACCGGACAACCTAAAAAAATTTTTTTTAATTAATTTTAAAAAAATTTTACTGGTCTTCGAGTAAGCATCATTTCAGTCCAATGTTCTTGAGCAGCGAGAACAACTTGAGGGTTTTGTAAATTTATAGAAGATAGAATAACCTTAAATTTAATTTTAAAAATTTCCAAAATTTATTTTAAAAATTTTACTTCTCCAATAAAATCGTTTTTGCTCATTTTGTCATAATCCCACACAGATATACACAAATGGACTCGCTAAAATTATTTTTAAAATTAATTAAAAAAATATTTTTTTATTTTTTAACCTCCATTTTGTCAGCAGAAACTTTAAATTGAAAGCTTTCATTATAACTTTAAATTTAAATTTTTGTTAAATTTATTTATTTATTCCTTTCTTACTATGGATTCAATGTTTTAAATTTTATTGCCGTTTTCTTCTTCGCCCACAATTTTTTGCCTTCATAGAGATAGATTTTTACATAGGGATCTGAATTATAAATATTTGTATGGGTATATAAGCAATCATGAATGGGGGTCTTTCCGGAAATTACTACAATTGTAAATTACCGTATAACCTGTATTAATTGCCCTCCCTCAAATACTCCACTTCAATTAATTACCCCATACAGCAATAAATCGTAATTACCCTCCAATAAATGCCCTAAAACACGTTTAAATTTCAAACCATGTATAGTTACCCTCCCTCGATTAATTCTCTCTTCGGCGGAAAGTCGAAACTATATTACCCAAGGTAGTTATTAAAGGATATACGGTACTCATGTTTTTATTTCAACTATCCGTCACTATCTTCGAGTTTATTTTTTTATATTCCGGAAAATTAATATACATTACAACAGTTTTACCATTTTTCCCGGTAGCCTTACTAATTGTAATTACAAATAAGTTTACAATTCAGATATTCTGGTAACACTTGTAAAATTATTGTAAAATTATTTCTTTCTCTACCTGAAGAACCGCTAACATCCATTTTCTTAAGATTTCTAGCTTCCATTATTGTAACTGTTAGTGTTCCTGTTGCTAATAAAATGTAAGAAATAATTTTAAAATTAACTTTTAATATCATTACCTGGTCTATAACGTGTTGAGAAACAAATATCACCTCGGGATTCCTTAAATTTTAAATAAGGTTACAAAAAAAAATCAAATTTTCTAAACCGATTCTTCAATTTCATGGGGAGCCTCAAAATTGGTCCATCTATCATTTGTTTGGCCAAAATCAACTGTGTTTAATGGCAATAAAATCTGACCAATTCTACAAAGTTTTAAGTTTTAGGAGGATAATTGTAAAAAAATATTAATTTACAATTTAAAATATTCCGGAAGGTTTTTACAATTAAATCATTTCCGGAAGGTTGAGGTATTTTGTTTTTACAATTTTCCGGAAAACATTTTTATTTGTTTCGGGAAAAATATTCCGGAAAGTTTTACAATAGAAATCTTTCCGGAAACTTTAAATTTTTTTTACAATTACAATTTACGATTCAACTATTACAATTTTCCGGAAAACATTTTACAATTTAATTTTATTTCTTACTCTAAAAAATAAGCTTACTGATCATCCTTAGAAAGCCGATCAAAATCAAACGCAACAAGTTCTAAAGTTTTGCGGCCAAGTTCAGGGAAAGGGATCTATCAAAATTTAAATAAAAATAAATATCAGCTTAAGATTCCTCACTTTAAAAACAAATGTTTCATTAAAGACCGGATTCAAACTATTTCTCTTTATTCGTGTCTCAAATTTGGGCTTTCGTTCTGGCGATATAGTCAATTTTATATATGGATCGCTCATTCCATTTCTATCCATAGCTGGTAAATCTCTACACTCTAGAATAGTCACAGATAACTAAAATTTATTTTTGTGAGTTTGTGAATTTTGAATAAATCTTCCGGAAAAAATTTTTCCAGTAATTCTATATTACTTTTACAATTTGTAATTTATTTTTTATGTTTATAATAATTTTTCCGGAAAAGTTTACAATTGATATTCCGGAAATTTTATAATTTTTACAATTTGTTTCAAGTTTATTATTTTTCCGGAAATATTTACAATCATTTATAAAGTTTTACAATTCGCTTATTTTTTCCGGAAAGTTTTAGAATAGTCAGTTTTAACAATTTACAAATTGTAATCTTTTCCGGAAAATTTTAATCTTTTCTAGAAAGCTTCCGGAGAGTTATGATTTTTTCCGGAAAGTATTTGTAATTTAAAAGCTTTTAAGCTTACTTTACTAGAAGTGAAATCATAATCAAGTTTTAAGTGCAAACTTCCATAAGAATCGGGTGTTAATCTACTAAATAATATAAAGATTTTTAGTGGATTTTTAGCAGATTTTTGGTAATAATTAATTTTACTTTTCACAATTATTTGTTCCATCATCTGTATTTGTTACTCTACTGCTTAATGTACTACTCGCTGTTGAAATTTGATGTGAAAAGTATTTGTTAGGCGTTGATGTTGTTGACTTATCTCCAAGGGAATCCCTTGTTTTTGTTGGTTTATAAAATCCATTTGTTTTTGCGGAGCAAGAAATAAACTTTAAAAGATTTATTTGTAAAGTGTTTTTGGGAGATTGTAATCTTTTTACAAATTGTAATTTTTCTAGAAAGTTTTAACAATTTTCCGGAAGTATTTTAATAATTTATTTGTAGTTGAAATTTACAAATTGTAATTTTTCCGGAAAGTTTTAACAATTTACAAATTGTAATATATTTTCCGGAAAGTATTAGGAATTTACAAATTGTAATAATTTCTTCCGGAAAGTTTTAATTATTTACAAATTGTAATATTTTCCGGAAAGTTTTAATAATTTACAAATTGTAATATATTTTCCGGAAATTTTAACAATTTACAAATTGTAATATTTTTCCGGAAAGTTTTAATAAATTACAAATTGTATTTAATTTTTTCCGTAAAGTTTTAATAATCTACAAATTGTAATAATTTCTTCCGGAAAGTTTTAATAATTTACAAATTGTAATAATTTCTTCCGGAAAGTTTTAATAATTTTCAAATTGTAATTTTCTCCGGAAAGTTTTAATTATTTACAAATTGTAATATATTTTCCGTAAAGTTTTAATTATTTACAAATTGTAATATATTTTCCGGAAAGTTTTAACAATTTACAAATTGTAATATATTTTCCGGAAAGTTTTAACAATTTACAAATTGTAATATATTTTCCGGAAAGTTTTAATAATTTACAAATTGTAATATATTTTCCGTAAAGTTTTAATTATTTACAAATTGTAATAATTTCTTCCGGAAAGTTTTAGGAATTTACAAATTGTAATAATTTCTTCCGGAAAGTTTTAATAATTTACAAATTGTAATCTTTTCCGGAAAGTTTTAATAATTTACAAATTGTAATATATTTTCCGGAAAGTTTTAATAATTTACAAATTGTAATTTTCTCCGGAAAGTTTTAATTATTTACAAATTGTAATATATTTTCCGGAAACTTTTAATTATTTACGAATTGTACTAATTTTTTCCAGAAAGTTTTAATAATTTACAAATTGTAATATATTTTCCGGAAAGTTATAATAATAAGAATTTAATTTTCACACCGCAATTTACAATTTGTAATTTTACCTCATCCCTGTAAAAATCAGAATGATCTCCACTGTTGGTAGAAGGGAAAGGAAGGCAGATGCGAAAAACTCGCAACACAGAATTACAATTGCTGGTAATAAATCTTCCACTAATTCCGGAAGAACCTGCTACTGCACCGAACATTTTATATTAAATAAATTTGACTGAAAAAAAATTTTTTTTATTTTTAAAATTTTTTTATTAAATTACAATTTTAGTTAAAAGATTTAAGAACGTATTTAAATGGCCATAAAATCCAAAAATATAAATAAAAATATAAATAAAAAATCGTTTTTTAACCTTAAAAGCTTCAGCAAAGGTTACTTTTCGTGACTTTTTTTCTTTATTCTTTGGCACGTATATGTGTTAAAATAAGCAAATTTAGGAGAAAATAAGTGCTTTTAGTGCTTAAAAGAATAAGAGGGAAAATATATCTTTGACGCAAGAATTGTGAATTTTTTAGAATTTATATTTTAGAATTAATGGAATATGTGCATATTTATAGAATTTTGTGTTTAAAATTGAAAACACGCAAGTCTGGGGCTTTGACATAAATACTAATATATTCAATAATTAGTTAAGTATTAAAGGTGGATCGGAAATTCTGAAGAGCTCATGAATCGAAAATCGAGGTAACCTTCTCGAGGGGAAATGGTTTTGTCTCCTCTCTCTCTCTTCTTTTGGGATAAATCCTGGCTTAGAGTCATGGTCTTTAGTAGGGTTTCTGACACGGTTTGGTTCGAAAGAAGAAAGACTCCTCAAAAAGACTCCCGAAAAAGACTCCTCAAACCCCCGAAAAAGACTCCTCGAACCGCTCGGTTCGATAAAAATGCGGCCCATTCCCCTAGTCTTTAGGACGGGTCCAAAAATAATTTTTTATTTTGTTTTTTACCTTTAACCCAGAAAATTTTCATTAATAAAATACATAATCTGATTTATATCCTTAATTAAAAAAAAATTTTTTTCTAACAAATACAACCTTTAATAAAAAAATTTTATAAAATTATTCCTCCAATTTATATCCACATTCTTTAATTAAACAAGTAGGCGGGATTTTATTTTCTTGTCAATTCCACAACATATTTAAAACTATGTGTTAAAAATTTTTATACAATAGTTTATTAATTAAAACGGGGAAATAAAATTTATATTTTAAAAGTACATTCGAGATTTTGTTTATTCTAATTTTAGGGGTGTTTTCACAATTTTTTTGGAAGATATAGGGATTTTAAGGTTTTTTCAAAAATTAAAAATAAAAATATAGTTACAAATAAATAACTGTTTTAATGTGCTTTTTTCTCTTTTTTTAGAAAAAACGAACAAATAAATAAAACATTAACTCAATAAACAAATAAATTCCCCCCTTAGTAACTCAACGAGCACCCCCACAATTATTTATGGGGGTTGCATACGAGCTTTTTGGCCGCTCGAGAAATTGAATATCCATTTTTGGCATTGAGAGAGGGAAAAGCAAAAAAGAAGCATTGAAAATCGAATTTTGTGGAATCACACCACAAAAATGAGTAAATAAAACAAAATTTATTTTTTATTTAAAGGAAAAGGTAGGGAAAAAAGAACAAATAAATATAAAATTACACACAATTTCTAGTAAATATTCGTCTAATTAAAAAAAAAATAAATTTATTTCCTTTATTTATTTCCTTAATTTTTTTAATAAATTATAAACATTAGAAAAGTAAATAAAAGAATTGCATGACAAAATTTAATAAAAATGAAACTTGGAGGTTTTTCCCTTTTCTCCCTTTTTTTGGGACAAATTAATAAGATTTTCTAATTATTGGAGCGAAACTTGACCTAATCAGAATATTCCAAAATTGTATACCTTTATATGCCTTTTTTGGATTTTTAATCTCTGGGGGATTATAAATATTAATTCTAATAAAATCTTTTTTTGTTGCGTGAAACTAAAATATTTTTTAAATTAAAATTTCGAAAAAAAAATATTTAAGGATATTCTTGAGAGAATTAAAAATTTTAAAATATTATTTATAATCTTCTTTACTTTCCAAAAGTAGTAAAAATCCATTAATTTTAAAATTTGGAAAGGCTTAAAATAAGTTTTAAACACAGATTTGTAATTAAGTTTTGTGTGACATAAAAATACGTATATGTAATGTTGCTTATTGTAATCAGAGATATATTGTAATCGTAAAGTAAAAATTGTAATTTTTACTTTCCGGAAAATTACAACGTGTTAAACAATTACAATTAAAAAGAAGTTTCCGGAAATATAAAAATAAGAAAATTTTCCGGGATAAAAATCGAAGTTCGCAAAAATATACAAAATAAATATGCAACTTTCCGGAAAACTTATATGTAACTATACTCACAGTTATACATTTTCCGGAAAAAATAATTAATTAATATAGTTTCAGGATTAGGTATAATTTCCGGAAAACATATAGTTTCCGGAATAAAAAGTTTCCGGCATAATTATATATTTTAAGATATTTGCGGAATAAGAATAGCTTCCGGAAAGCATAATAATTACAGATTCCGGAATAAGTATATTTTCCGGAAAAAATAAGTATGGAGATCAGAAAATAAATATGTTTCCGGAAAAAGTATAATTTCCGGAAAATTACATTTAATAGGTGTTTTCAGAAAAAATATTTCCGGAAAATAAAAACAAGTTTTAGTTAATAGACTTTTTAAATATTAGCTATAAGAAATAAAACTATTAAAGAATAAATTTTTTCAAAATACATTTAAAATTAAATTAAGTTGGTATTTCAAAAAAATCTTAAACCTGTAATATTATTATTAAATTATTTATGTAAGCGAACAAAAGTATTTTAAGGTGTGATCTTTCCAAAAATAGAAAAATGGGATTGGATAAATTTAAAAAAAAATTTATTTTAATTTATTTTAATTTACAATTATTTAAACAAAAAATTAAGAATTCTCTAAAAATATTAAAAATTCTCAAAAAATATTAAAAATTCTATTAAAAACAGATCGTGAGAACAAAGAAGATTTTCCGATACATTTAATGAATGGGAGAAGGAAATTGCCTGTCTGGGCAGGATAAAAATGTTAATTAAGTAATAAATTGAAAAAATATTAAGGGTTTCATTTTATAATTATTTTAATAAATTGCAAAAATTAAAGGAAATATTGAGGATTAATTTATTAATATATCCATTAATTTACATTAATTCGTCACTTTTTTAATAGCCAAAAGATTAGCTCATCCTACGCTTTTTCCCTTAAAAAACTAAAAATTTGAGGGTATCACAAGTCTAAATAATTTAAAGTATCTATGCTCTTTTAGGAAGAAGAGTGCACAAAATTCAAAGAATTTTTTTAATTTTTATTTGACGCAAACAAATTAATAATTCCATTCTTCTCAAGCTTTCCTTGTTTTATGTAAATTATTTAGAACGTGGAAGAAATTTTGTCTGAGTAAATATTTGCGATATTGAGATTAAACAATGGAAGTTGGACATATAAATTTATAAAACTTGAAGGAATTTGTAAAATCTCAGAAAATAGTTTACAATTATAAAGTATTTGTAGAAAATATTTTGTAGATATTCGAGAATTAATAATTCCTGAACCCCGGAAAAGTTGCAGGAAGAATAGAAGCAACTTTACAATTTTAAAACATTTTCCGGAAACTTTACAATTGTAAAAAGTTTTCCGAAAAGTTTACAAATTGTAAAAAGTTTTCCGGAAAATTTATTAATTGCATAACATTTTCCGGAAAGTTTATTAATTGTAAAATATTTTCCGGTAACATTACAAATTGTAAAATAACTTCCGGAAAATTTATTAATTTCAAAACATTTTCCGGAAAGTTTATAGATTTTAAAATATTTTCCGGAAACTTTACAAATTGTAAAGTTTTCCGGAAAGTTTATAAATTTTAAAAATATTTCCGGGAAGTTCACAAATTGTAAATAATTTCCGGAAACCTTACAAATTGTAAATAATTTCCGGAAACTTTATAATTGTAGAATATTTTTCGGAAATTTTACAAATTGTAAAATATTTTCCGGAAAGTTTAAACAAAGTTTATTAATTGTAGATTAGTTTCCGGAAACTTTACAAATTGTAAAATATTTTCCGGAAAGTTTAAACAAAGTTTATTAATTGTAGATTAGTTTCCGGAAACTTTACAAATTGTAAAATATTTTCTTAAAAGTTTACAAATTTTAAAATTAATTCATTAATAAACAAAAGAAGCAAGAGAAAAAGAAAAAAAGTTAATTAAATATTTTATTTCCAAAAAAATATGTATATGTAAAGCCTGCTTAAAAATTCTAAGCAAAAAATAAACAATAGAAACACAAAGAAGCTAGTGTATTGTCTCTATTTTTCTTGTCCTTAATGCAGTTAGAAAATATTAACATTTACGTAATAAAAAAATTTTTCTTTAAAAAGGGTAGGGTGATGTTGAAAAATTAATTTTTTAAGAAAAAGTAAAAAGGAAAAGGAGCAAATTTTAGTTAAATAATTTTAAAGTCTTATTTTCTAGAAAATATTGAGTTAAAATAAGTACCTACTTACCAGGAGGTAGGATGGGCGAAATCTAAAAATACAGGGTGTTTCAACAGAAAAGCCCTTTTTGAAAAATTAATATCTTTTTACTGCGTGGATAGATTTTTACGATATTTGGTATTTTATACCTATAATTTATAAGGTTTTTTTTGACATAAAAATTATGTCGAAATTCGAACCCTAACCCATTATTTCAATTTCGTACTCTACCGTTCTCTTTTCTTTCTATTTTCTTTGTGTGCTATCTTACTTCATTTATTTTCCTGCGTATGGCGAAGAGTAGATACTGTATTGAAAATGTAGTGTATACCGCCTAGTGTTTACTCTAGTGTCTGTCTCCCCATATAACAAATAAAGGGAAGTAAGAATGCATGTGCGGAAAAAGGGAAAAACAGAACGGTAGAGTACGAAATTATCTCGGGTTAGGGTTCGAATTTAGACATAATTTTTATGTCAAAAAAAACCTTATAAATTATAGATATAAAATACAAAATATCATTAAAATATGTCAATATTGAAAAAAGTTATTAATTTTTCAAAAAGGGCTTTTCTGGCGAAACACCCTGTATAAAGCGAAATGCCTAGCCATGCTACTTACATTAGCTAAAATAATTTTAAAAAAA